GGGGAGGGTTAGGGGCAGCGGGGCCGAAGGAGTGAGAGGCTGGCAAGGGGCTTCATGTTCGCTGCAGGAGGCTGGGCTCCTCCACGGGGAGCGAAGGGCCTGGGGGGCCGCTGCTGTGGGAGGCGGGCCCTTGGGTTCCTGGGCAGGGTGGGCGGCAGCTGGCCGGGGCTGGTGGTCAGTTTGGTCCGTCCCAGAGAAAGCTCTTGGCCCTTGGTTTAGCCAAAGCAGCACAGATGGAAGGGCATTTTGTGTGACCTCTGCGACCGGGACGAATTTGTCTGGAGTTGCCAGTCTCAGGGACCCGAATCGTTACTTTTCCCCACAAATGACCCCCTTTTCCCTGTTTGACCCCCTCTGTGCCTCTGGGGCAGCTCCCGTGTGCTCCTGCGTCGGGGCGGATGGAGTTCTGCCACGGAAGCTGGCCGAGCCAGGCCTGCCACCCCGTGCCACACGCCCGTGTTGGCGCTGCCCCTCTCGTGCTGACCGCGTGCATCCTGGTTACAACCTCGTTACTGTGGGAGACCAGCCGAGGGTCCATGCTCCCGCTTCCGGGTCTCGGGCCCCACTGCCCACCCGGGAGCCAGCAGCTCCGCCAGCGTCACTGGGCTCGGGCACGGGCACGGAGGCGGGTCTCGGGGTGACTCAGCGCCTTCCTGCAGAGTTGTGCACACCTGGGTCTCATCCTTACGTCCACGGGGGGTGGGTCCTGCTGCTCTTTTTACTTCCGGGATTGTAGGGGGCGGTGAGCAGAGTGCTGGGTCGTGGCAGAAGCATCTAGAGTCCTGCTGGATCTGAGCACTCTGACCCTTAGCCTGGCAGGGACCCTGGGGGATGCGTGGCACGGGGTGGTCAGAGCCCTGGGGACCTTTCACCGGGCAGGTTCCGGGCCACGCAACTGGGTCCCGTGGAAAAAGTCTGATGGGGCATCCCCTGGGGGCCCCCCTGGCCTGGGCCTCAGCCGACCACCTTTTGTAACACGACTTCTTTCTCACGTTCTGCGGACATAACCCTCCCATGCCTGTCCTTCCCCAGAGGAGGCCAACCCTGCGCAGGCCACATCCCGAGACTCAGGTGCCACCTCGCTCCCCACGGAGGCAGGGACCTCAACTTCATGGCTTGTTCTGTTCTGCAGAAAAAACTTGGAAGTGCCTGGTCTCTATCTTAATGTCCACCGGGGACGGAGCTCAGCCTTGCCCCACAGGGGAGAGCGGGCCGCGTGCTCCCGGGACCCCCTGCGGCGGCACAAGGACCCTGTGCGCCCCGAGGGGCTCCTTAGCACTGCAGCAAAAGCTGCCGAGGTCAGCGGCCGCACAACCGGGCGTCTGTCTGTTGTTATGAGGGGTGCAAGTGTACTTCCCCCTGGCGTTCCGAGAAGGAGCTACACAGCGGCCTGGTCCTGGGGAGGACGTGTGGGGACTGGGAAAGAGGGAGATGCCAGGAGGGGCAGTCCGTGTGGGCTTTGGAGGCGGCCAGGCAGGGGTCCTCCTCCCACCCCCCAGAGCCCTTCCTGGGCCCAGGGACCTGCGGTGGCACCCACGGCCCTGTCCTGTCAGAGCCCGGTGCAGGCTCCCTCCCGGCGGGCGTCTCCTCGCTGCTGGGCCCCACGTGTTGCAGATCCGCCCGCTCAGCCCACAGATCTTCCGAGAGCCAGGAGTGTTCTGTGGGTCATGCCTCCCGGGAGACCCCCTTCTCCAGGTGGAGGGGCCGTCTGGGCTGGCCCTCACCAAACCCAGGGGCAGCATGCACCCAGGATGCTGGGTGTGTGTGTATAGGCTCTGTTTCCCTGTGCCCGAGTATTTAGGCACATTAGGAACATTTCGTGTTCCTCTTCATGCTTCCTGCAAAACAATCAGTTTGTACATTTGGGTGAATGTTCCAGTTTTTTTTCACGGTTTTTGTTTTGTTGGTTGTTGGGCCTTGCACGCAAAAAGAACACGCTAGAGATGCTGTGCTTTTTAAACACCTGACATGCGTATTCTGGCTTTGAAGAGGGCCTGGGTCCCTTTTCCTCCTGCTGTGGACACAGGCCACCCTCGAGGGCATGGGCAGGAGGGTGCTGGGAGAGTCGGGCTGGCAGCACCAGGCCCCTCGCTGGGTGGCCTGTGAGCACACGGCAGGTGCCGTGAAGGAAGATCCAACGCACAGCACCCCGTTTGTTTCATGTGGAGCCCAGCGCCTTGGGCAGGCCCCTGTGGTCCCCTGTGGGCCCCGGGCCAGTGCAAGGATGCTGCCAGGCTGCCCCCGGAGGATGGGGGGCTCCGGATGGTTTGGGCGAACCCCGAGGGGCCGGGGACGAGGCTGCTCCATGGCTGACTGTGGCCTTGTCCTCCCATCGCTGGCCCCCGAGCCGCCCGTGCCCGCCGACACGCCCTGGACAGCAGCTTGTAGGTTTGACCGCCCCAGGAGAATGCTGCTCATTCCCAGTCCGTCTGGGGAGCAGGAGGAGAGCTGGCCCCACGTGCCCCCGCTGTGGTGCTGGCTTCAGGCCCATTTGTGGATGGGAGCGGGGTCCAGTCCCCTCCCCTGCCCATAGCCTAGGGGTGGCAGTGGGTCCGTCGGGAACCTTCCACCATCCCTTGCCAGGATCCTAACCAAGCAGTGCGGTGGCAGTGGGACCCCCATCCCCTCCCCGCCTGCTGCCTGTTGAGCCAGAGCATCTGGGGTGTTGGGTGCCCTTTTGGGATGAACCCGAGGGCCCCTTGCCAACTTGGAAGCCGGGCCAGGGTCTGCAGGGGCGCCCGGGTGGCCTGGGTGTCCTATCAGGAGAAATGATACAGCAGTAGGGCCCAGGAGGACTCCAGCCGCGGAGCGAGGCCTCTCCTTCCCACCCTCTGCAGGGCTTGGAGCCGGAGATGTCTGGGTAGCCCCTGGTGCCTGGCTACCGGAGAGCCGCCCTGGGAGGTGCTCTGCTTCCTGGGGAGGCCGGTGTCCACGCCGTCCGGGGACCCTTTGATTCAAGGAGGCTTCCCTGATCACATCGTTGCTGTTTCTTTATCCACGTTGTTCACGTCTGTGAATTATTTTGGAGACCACAAACTTCACTCTGCAGCTTCCCTCCCTAAACCACCCCCCACGCGGGCGGCGATCCTTTCCCATTTTTCCGCAACTGGTGTTGAGATGGGCCGAGGAGGCCGAGGGGCTCCTGCCTGGCAAGCGTGCCCATGCCCTCCGCCCTGTTCTTGCAGGAAGGGCCGGCAGCGGCTGGGGAGCCCCGTGGGGGCAGCCTGTCCTGTGCCTGTCTCACTCAACAGACGGAGCCGCTCGGCCAGTGCATGCAGGGTTCACTTAGCAGCCGCTGCTGTGGTCGCAGGCGGCCACAGCCTCTGGACACAGTGCCGAGGGAGCTGGGCAACGGGGGGGCGGGGTTGCTTTCTAAACTCCAAGGCTCAGCATGGCGTGGAGGGGTTGGCGCGCTTCTGGGCCGAGAGTGCCTGACAGCCCAGGGGGCTGGAGTCCGGCGCAGCCGCCTGGGCCCGTGCCGGGGTCTCCACCGCTGAGCCCCCTGGTCTCACTGTTGTTCCTGCAGGAGCCGCCTGGCGGGGACCCGAAGGAGGGGCCTTTCTGGGAGGACCAGTGTCCCCTCGAGGGTAAGTCGTCCTCCCCAAACCTCATGAACTAGCCGTGCCCAGAGCACACGCCATAAGCTGCCCTCAGAGCTCTGACCACGGGGCCCCGCTCCTCAGCGTGTCCCACCAAGCCCAGACCAGCGCAGGCGGGCCACGGTCTCCGGTCTCAAAGGCAATTTGGTCTTAAAATATACTTGGAAATAGATTTCTTCTGGGGCCCCTTACACGAATTAGGAGATTTGGATTTTGGATCTGGGGGTCTGAGAGGCAAATGTTGGCGTCTCTGAGCTTTTATGTCTTCGGAGTCCCCGTGAGCCTGTGCATGCAGCTGGGACAGCTGGGCTTTGTATGGAAGCCATTTGGCGAACCCACGGGTCAGGTCTGGGGGCCCGAAACGGTCAGCGTGTGAACTGCTGACCAACGGGAGTCCCTGCCACACGTGAGCTGCTGCTGCGGAGTGTGACGGGTGATCAGATGTGCGTCCCTCGGGGCGGGGAGTTGTGTGGGATGCGAGGAGGCTGACCAGAGGCCACCTTCGGGGCTCCGAGACCCTCCCCACCGGGGACTCAGGCCTGAGCAGGTTCCCCACTCCACCGGCACGAACACGTGTCGGCCACTGCTAAGCTGGGGTGGGCCTGAGCTCCAATCCCAGAGAATAAACAAGTGCTGGTTGTCCATCCGTCCCCGGAGCTTGGGGACGAGGTGCTGCCCAACGGACACGCAGCACACACATGCCCCTGGGTCCTGGCGTCCAGGGGTAACTGGACTGTGTGGATGGGGAGGGGGCGCAGGGCGAGGCAGTCAGGCCAGGACCTCCCTGCCACAGCCCGCCCGGGCCCCAGCTCCCCACCCCGCGTGCCTGGGCGGGGGGCCCCCACACCTGGCCCTGGCTAACCCAGGGGAGGGCCGCCCCGCCCTCTGCACGGCTCCCTTGACGCCCCCTTGTTCTGAAGGACGGGCTCTCAGGTCAGGCCTTGGTGGAGGGATCAGAGGTTGGCGTGGACTCTGAGGCTCCCTGGCCCCACCTCCTGCACCCCGCTGCCCCCATCCCCGTCTGGCCCAGAAAGGACCCTTCCCAACCCTCTCCTTCCTCCAGTGGCGCTCCCCCCGGAGAAGGCCGAGGGCCGTGAGGCCACAGGACCGATCTCCGGCGTGGTCGATGGAGAGAGAGCAGCAAGCCGGGAGGGCCCACGAGGGCCGGGCAAGAAGCCCCTCAACATCGATGTAGGTCTTTGCTCCCCCGCCCCTCCGGAGGCCCTGGGCCGGGGCGGGCGCTGCCCTCGGGAGGCATCGGTTCCAGGCGGGGGCGGTGGGCCCTCGATGGGCGTCTGTGGACCCTGCAGTCTGGCAGGTGCGGCTGCGGTCGGGCGGCTGGAGGTGGTTTAAAAGCTCAAGTGTGCTTCCAGTGAAGGTCAGCGGGCTCCAGAGGGGGTGTTGCTGTGAGTTCAGTCAAAACTGACACTCTGAAACCAGAGAATTTGAGGCACTTCCGGGGCGTGAAGGACACAGAAACCGGCCTGGGGCCGTGGGAGGGGCTGGTCTTCCCTGGAGGGCAGGGGCCCGGGGCCCAGGGTGAGCCAGCCGTCCTCTGCCCCACGTGCCCCGCAGGGGCTGCAGTGTGACGTCTCTGTGGAGGGGGACAGCCACCAGGAGTGGACGTTCACGCTCTACGGCTTCGACCACAGCGGCAAGGCCACCAGGGAGGTGAGGCACCCGGCCGCCCTGGACAGGCAGATGCTGCCCCCGTCCCAGGAGACAGGCGGCGTGGGGCCGGTGGGGGGACCTCTGTCTGGGGTTCGACTCCCCAGGGTGGGCGGTAAGGGCTCCAGGGGCCCCCTGCGCTCTCCTCGGCTGGCCTGTGTGCAGAATGTGACACCCGACTGCGAATCCCTGAACATAGATTTGGGGTCAAATTTAAGCATCCACGAGATGTGATCCCGGTACCAGCAGGGCTGCCCCCAGGCTGCCCGGGGTGCACACAGGGCTAGATGCAGGGGGGCAGAAAGGCCGCTGGGACAGGCGTGTGTGTGGGAAGCCGCCTGGAGGCAGCCGAGGGCTCCCTACCCAGTCAGCCTGTCAGTGACGTCGGGGCCGTCCTCAGGACATGTCCAGCCTGGTGCACACCATCTACGAGGCCGTCGATGCCTCCGTGAGCCACTCGTCTGGCAGCAGCAGGACCCTCCGTGTGAAGCTGACCGTCAGCCCTGGGTCTCCCAGCAAGAGGAAGGAGAGTCCCGCCACAGGCCAGGGTGAGGGGCTGCCCTGCTCAGACACCCCAGAGACCCTGCTTGAGACGGCAGCCCGTCCCGCACACCCTGTCCCCACAGCGCTCACCGCTCATTCCCCGAGCCTCTTGTTACCAGTCAGCGCCCCAACCCTCCGAGGACGAAATGCCTGTCTGGTAAAGGAGCGCATGAGTGGATGAGCAGGGAATGCGCCGCCCCTCTTTCAGACCGGGAGCCCACTCGCTGCAGGACGGAGGCCGAGCTCACTGGAGACCCCGGGGGGGCCGACAAGAGGCCGTCCGCATGCGCCAGGTGAGGGACCGCGGTCCGGCTCCGTCCTCTGGCTTGTCCTCAGTGGGAGCAGCCCGCGCACCCTTGCCACTTGCAGGCCTCAGGGCTGTCCCCTCAGGACGGGGCCACCAAGCCAGGCACCTGGCGCAGAGGGCGGGATGCTGGCCGAGGGGCCTCGGCACGACCCACCGTCAGGGTGAGGGCAGCATCTTGGGGCCTCTGTGGCGGCTGACACTCTGGCTGGGGCTGAGTGCACTTGGTGTCTGAGAGATGGGTGAGCTTTGAGGGGCTGTGGTGGGTTGGCCTCGAGACCCTCCATCGCCACGCTCTGGTGCCCTGTGGGTGTCACTGGGCAGTCTGGAGGGCCCGGCGTGGTGACCCGCTCTCTGCCGCAGACTCTAACGGTCCATCTCTCGTGAGTTCTGTGGGGCATCCCCGACGGTGGTGCTGGGGTTTTGTTGGGGGCCCCCGGGGCTGGCTGGGGACCTTGCTGTCCTTGGTGGCCTTCCTCCTGTTGCCCTTTGGAGCAGTGGGTGCTGGTCAGGGCCCCCTGCCCAGGACCCTGAGACCGCCCACCGCAGGCGCCCCTTCCGCTCCAAGTGCCCTGCTCTGGCCTCGTGCGGCCCCAGGAGCTCAGGCCCTCATTCCTGCAGCGCATGCAGGAGGCCCGGTGCCGACCCCCACCCCTGCTGCGAGCGCGGCCCGTACTGCGTGGACGAGAACACCGAGCGGAGAAATCATTACCTGGACCTGGCTGGGATCGAGAACTACACATCCAAGTTCGGACCTGGTAGGTGCTGGAGACCGACCCTGGGTATGAGGCCCTGGGTACAGACACCTCGGCAACAGGAGCCCCACCTGAGCATCCTGGGGTCCCTGCAACGAACCACACTATAGTATTGCATCCAAAGGTGGGCACCCTGTTCAGGTGTGTGGGTTGTACCTGCTCCAAGGTGAGACGTCCTGGGCCCCGGGCAGGTGTCCCCGGGCACCCCGTGTCCGCAGGGTCCCCGCCGTGGGTCTCACAGGCACCCTGTCTCTGCAGGGGCCCCATCGGCACAGGCTAAGCAGGAGCACCCAGGCAAGGCCACGCACCCCCAAAGCAGGTCCCGCTCCCAGGAGGCGGACACACACACTGCCCTCCAGCGCAGGTCCCAGGTGCTGGCCGACCACCCGCTGCCGGCCACAGAGCCCACTGTCAGGGCCCTGGACGTGCAGCCCCGGTTGAAGGGGCAGGAGAAGCAGCTTCTCAAGTCCCCCAGGGGCTCAGGGCGGCCACCTGGGGCACCAGGTGCATGCAAGCCTGGGAGAGCCTTCGGCTACGCCCCGCCGGCTGCCCCGCCCCAGGCCCCCCAGGACGGCCACCGCCTCCCACAGCCCCCACCACAGCCCTACGGCCACAGGCGGTCCCGGCAAAAGAGCAGGGAAGTCCACTCTCCGCTCAAGGCAGCGCTCGGCCAGCCTGTGGCGCTGGAGCACGAGGTGGTGCGGGACCTGCCGCCCGTGCTGGTGGGGGAGGGCTATGCGGTGCCCATGGTCCAGCGCCACGAGCACCACCACCGCCACGAGCACCACCACCACCACCACCACCACCACGCATCCTAGCGCGTGGCTGGGCGGGGCCTCCACGGAGGTGCGCCACGGAGGTGCGCCACGGAGGTGCTTTACGGAGGTGCGCCCCTCTGGGCTCCGCACGGACGCCAGGCCCACGTGGACATGTGGGATGTCACTGGCGGCTCAGTTAGGAAGCTCTTTCATGTCACCCTTAAAACCAAGTGCGGAAAAATACACGAGCGTCTGCTCGGATTCCAAACGAGGCCCTGTGGTGCTAGGGGCTCCGCTCGGGCACACCGCGTGCTCGGGGCGCACAGGGTGGCGAGGGCTCCCTGTTGGGCGGCCCTTCCTGTAATTTGGTCATTATGAAGTCAGAAGGGGTGGGGTCGGGGCAGCCTGTGTTCAGGGTGCACGCGGCCCCCACGCGCTGATGGACGGAGGGCGGGTGGCCATGGGACACAGAGCCGTCGGGAACCGTGGCAGGAGGCAGTGGGGCAGGGTCGAGGCCCACGGGAGGTGGCCTCTGGACTTGCGTCATCAGTGGACAGCATCTTCCCAGCGTCATCTGTGGACGGAGACGTGGACAACGGGCAGGCTTCTCATGCTTGGTGGACACACACACGCAAACATCCAAACACTCGGGCACAGCCTCGGTGAAGCTCCCCTTTGGGAAAGTGGGATTCCCTCTGGGACATCAAGAGAGGGGCTGCAGACAAGGAGGAAGGCCCGGGGGTGCAGGCAGCGGGAGGCAGGAGGCTCTAGAAGAGCAAGCTGACCTGCCAGCAACTTGAGGTCTGTGCCAGCGGTTCCGCATTGTCTTCTGGGCGCCGTGGTTGAGAAAGCCCTGGTGGTTGAGGCATGAGCAAGCCACCCTCCCTGGCTCAATAAAAATACGTGCATTTTGTACTGTGTCGTACCTTGTAGTAAAACAAGCATTTCGGAGACGTTCTGTCCACCTGCACCGGCAGCGTGTGGGCACACGTGTGTGGACCAGGCCGCCCCGCCGGGTGCGTGGGAGAGCACGCGTCCGTCTCTTACGCACACGTACGTGCACATTCCGTATTGATGGATAAGCTTTCCCCCATTTTACTGCATAAGCAAACAAGAAACCCCAAAACCTAAGCCCCAAATTGGGCTCATGGTAACGGGACACTTGGCACCGCATCTGGGGCCGTGCGGACCAAGGCTGACAGACAGTGGCTGTGTGTAAACGGGACTCCGTCTGGAGAGGCCGGAGCAGCACCTGCCCCGTCCTCTCCCCACAACATCTGCACACCATCCCTGCCCCTGCGAGACCCCCACGCCACCCTCATCCCAGGGGGCCATTCTCGGCTGTGTTTCCTCACCGCACTTGGGGAGACCTGTGTCCCCACCAGCACGCTAGCCTCACCCATGCCTGCTACCTGGAACCTCGTTCCTGTCTGCTCCTGGGCGCCAACCCACAAGCTCCGAGGCCACATGCCTTGTCCTCAGTACCAGGCACAACACCACACACAGGGGCAGCCTAGTGGGCACTGGAGGGTGAATGAAGGAATGAGTGAGCCAGGAGTGTCAGCCCAGAGTGCATGCTCCCGAGAAGCCTCGCTCCAAACAGAGCCCCCTCTGGCCTCAGTGTGGCCTGCCGCGGGAAGTGCCCACAGAGGCCAGGAGGGACAGTGGGCCTGGAGGTCCGGGGAAAGCAGGAGGCCTGGGTGGAGTCTGGTGCCTGGCCAGCCCTGCCCCGATGGGGTCAGGCGCATTGGCGCCCCTGTCCCACAGGGCAGGGAAGGTGGGCAGTGCCGGGGACAGCCTGAGGGTTCCGTGTTGGGGCCGTGGGCAGGGGCGGGTGGCATGGAAGCGCCCAGGCGTTTGTCAGGGATGCCCGAATTGCAGCCGGCCAGAATCGGCACCAGACTGAGACCCGGGACTTGGGGATGAGAAGGTGCGCTGCAGGGGACTGGCCTGTCTGCGTTTGCTCCTCCCTGGGGCAGCAGCTGCCCTCTCCAGGTCCTATCCTCAGCCCCAGCCAGGGCACGGCCAGTATCTAATGAAGCCACAGGAAGCCCAGCGTCTCCTTCCCAGCTGCCCGCTGGGGCAGTGCTGCCCTCCCCATCCGTCCAGGCTGACTGGGCGACTGTCCTGCAAATTCTCGCTCTCTCCTTGAGCTGGGGCGTCCACCTTCTGTTCCCAGGCATCCAGGAGCTCTGGGATCTCAGGATTCAGGGCTCAGACTGATTCAGCCCCACGGACTTGCCGGGGCCTCCCAGCCTCGGTAATCACGGGACCCAATTCCTGTATCTCTGTGTATTATGCTTCCGTTTCTCTGGGGAACCCTGACTACTGCAGAGACCACTTACAACAGCCCACAATGCCAAACGCCTGGATGGCCAAGATCTCAACTCAGGCACCATGAACTTCATCGGGCGTCGTCTGGAAAGATCTAAACGGAGGGGCATGTGCACGGGTGGGTCAACACAGGCAGCTCGAAGCAGCAACGCGGTCCCAGTTGAGATCTCAGCCAGATTCCTGATGCTAAAATGCACGGAAATGCAAAGGGGTGAGAACATGTGCAGCGAGGTGAAGGCACTGACCATCGCCAGGACGCACTGTGGCCACGGGAATGAACTCGGCGCGCCAAGGCCAGGCTAAGCGAGCCACGGAGCAGGGCAGGAGGCCCGGATGCAGCCCCTACAAACACAGCCACTACATTTGGGACAATGGTGGCCCTACGGAGCACGGGCTGGGTGCCCACATAGAAATGGTCCCCTGACCAAAACACGGATCCACTCCAGGTGAACATACGACGTGAAGGATGCTCTGGGGTGCTGGCGGGCGGGCGGGCGCGCACACTGGTGCGAGCCCCTGGAAATGCTGAGCGGGAGCTCCCATCCCGGGGGTGCACCAAAGGCATGCACGTGCCAACGGGGGGCTCACACGGTGGGGCGCCTCCTGGAATGGAGATCCACACCGCCCGCCATGCCTGCCTGGGCCACTCCCACTGGCAGACCACCCGTGGCAGGCAGGGCCACTGAAGCCACACCCAGCTCGTGGCCTCTGAGCTGGCGGTGTGTTTCCCACCCGAAACCAGGAGAGAAAAGGAGGACGCTCCTCGAGACGCTTCCCCAGACGCTGTCCACTCGCGGACGGTCGGGGAGGCGCTTCCCCAGACGCTGTCCACTCGCGGACGGTCGGGGAGGCGCTTCCCCAGACGCTGTCCACTCGCGGACGGTCGGGGAGGCG